GAGTTTAGGGCTGTTGTACATAGGGTCGCTATGAGTCGCAAGCGACTCGACGGCACATAACAACAACAACAACAACAACATATTTATTGCCGTGTTGTTCACCACAGCAAAGAGATGGCAGCAATCCAAGTGCCCATCAACAAATGCACGGATAGAGAAGCTGTGGTTTATTCACACAATGGAATAATACCTAACACTGAAAAACAAGGAACTCATAAAATAATTTATCACAAAGTGGGTGACCCTGGAGAACATTATACTGAGTGAAATATCTCAGTCACAAAAGGACAAATCCTACATAATGCCACTGTTATAAAATAGGACAGACATTGGGGTTGGGGAGGGAAACTTAGAAAAGTGGGGGTAAGTAGTGAACACTGCACTGGAACAGGTGAGGGAAAGAATTGTTTAAAGGAATATATGATTAGGCATTATTTGCATCACAGTAGTCCAGAATAAGAGGTGCGTAGCAAAGTGGACTGGTGTGGGGATGAGGGAGGAAATTGTGCAACAATGAATGGGTTTTTAAAGAGAAAAGCGAACTCGTGGTGGCGGAAGGGATAGGGATTAAAATATGCAACAACGCGTGAATGGAAATCCAAGTTCTCTGTAAACTTTTGCTACAATCACAATAAAATTATTAAAGAAGAAAACAAAGATTTTCACCATTGGGCAGGTTTGGGGGAAAAAAACTCACACAAATACCAAATAAGAAATGAAAGAGGCAATATTACAACAGAACAAATAGAAATTAAAAAGATAGTAACAGATTATTATGAAAAGCTATACTTGATAAATTTGAAAGCCTAGAGGAAATTGACAAATTCCTAGCAATTTCAAGAAATTCCATATTATCAAGAACCAATGGTAAGGAAGGAAGAGTTCCCAAGAACTGATGGGATAATAACATGTTTCAAATGACAGATGCAGTCCTAAATGTGCTATGCTAATTGTCTATTTTATTGACTTTTTTGAAGAATCAGTTCCTAGTCTTGTTGATGGTTTCAATTGTTTTTCTGTTTCCTATTCCATTGATTTAAGCTCTTATCTTTATGATTTCCTTTCTTCTAGAAGCTCTGCGAGTAGTCTGTTCTTTTTCTGTTTGATGCAGGCATTAAAAAGTTTATTTTGCTCCTTTCTTCTTTCCTTTTGTGAACTACCCCATAAGGATGACTGCCTTTGCTGTGTCTCAGAGGTTTTGAATGTTGTGTTTTCATTTTCATTCATTTCTAGGAACTTTTTTCTTTTCTTTTTTTCCCCATTCATTCATTGTTGCATTTTTCTCCCTGCCCACCCCTTCCCCCAGTACACTCTTTGAAAAGTAAAAGAAAATTTCTTTCATTGTTGCACAATCCCTCCCCGCAAGTCCACTCCACTATGCAGTCTTCGTTCTGGACTCATGTCATAACATGTACTAAAGTGTCATATGTTTTCCATCATGCAAACTATTTGTTAATGTCTTGACTATTTCCCCATTTTGCAACACTCTTTCATGATTTGTCATTTTGATGTGAGTGTGTGTGTGTGTGTGTTGAAGTCATGTATAGGTTTGAGGATTTTTTTTTCATGTATTAGTTTTGAAAACTTTTTTTCCCAAGTAAACTTTAACTATTTTTTTCTAAAGGTTTTAGTTTTTGAGTCATATAGTAACGTGTTGTTTTGTTTTTTACTTCTGGATTATAAAGAGAATATGAAGAACATTGATATTTTCTTCTAGAACTTATATAATTTGATTATTTTAAACCTTTAGATTGCAATTCAGTTGAGCTTGATTTTGGAATGCGATGTGAGGAATAGATTGGTTTAGCCTTATTTTTACAATAGCTATCTAGAATATCATTCTGCATTAGGAAGCTTGTTCTTTCTTACCTACATTTGCTAAGTCAATCCTGTCACCGGAACTTAGTCTTAACTCCGGTAAGAAACTAGGGGAAGTTCTTTCTCCAAAATGAAAGGTGCATAGTGGAGTGGTTGGGGTGGGAGTTGGGGTGGTTATATAACAATGAAAAAAATGTTATTACTTTTTTTTTTACTTTTCAAACAGAAAATCAAACTGGAAGGGAGGGGTGAGTAGGGAAGAAAGTGTGCAACATTGAGTGAACGGAAATCCAAAGTCTCTATAAACTCTCATTAAAATAAAATTTTAAAAAAGAAATAAGAAAAAAAGAAAAGAATCTGCTGGAGGGTTAGGTAAGAGTCAGTTCCTACTTGATGGTACATAACAACAATATATGATAAAGGTGATCAAAGTGGGGAGAGGAGTGGGGGGGTACTGAGGGTAGAGAAATGGGAGGAAATCATGGGGTCACAGAGTTTGTGGGGTGGAAATGAAGGAATTAGGAAAAATCCAGTAGGGATATGAAAAGATTGAGATAATAGATTGAGGAATAGGCTAATGATGATTAATTTTATAAGACATAATGTATAGGAATGATTATATGAAACACAATGTGAATGAAAAATAAAATGATGATGGCTCAAATAATTAGGAAACAATGAAATTGTAATAGATGGGCAGAGGCATAGGAAAGATAGATGAAGAGGAAATAGTACTTAGAGTTGAAATGGGAACAGAGGTCTATCTGATGAGTAAAAGATGCATATTTATTCTGTATAGTATTGTATATTATTGTGTAGTAAAAGATGTATAGTATTGTATTTATTGTGTAGTAAAAGATGTTTAATGACTAAACGTGAAGCCAGTTACTTCTACTCTAGACACGGACATTTATTAAAGCCTGTGCAGCCCCGGACACCCGTTCTCAAAAGAGCCAATCAGGAAGAGGCTCCTTGCTGAGTGAAACGTCTCATTGTTTCCTTTATCCAGGGCAAGTAGCTGGAAATCCTGGTGAAGACTGCTGGAGGGATCCCTCTTCCATCTCCATAAGAGACGACACCATGAGCCACGTTGTTGCATACGAGGGGCCCCCCAGAATCCCCCTGTGAACACAGAAAGTAAAAGGATTGACCCAGTCCTCCCCACTTTAAGCCTGTCTCTCCACTCTGCTCATGGGCTTTCAGAAAGGGAGGGAGGATCCTTTAATTGTAACTGAGTTGAAGAAGATGGTGCAGAAAATAGTATCTGGATCATTCTGTTATACTTGTGCTAACTTTCTTGATTTCCAAACAAAGCAACATTTACAAGCACTGATTGTGCTCACTGTCTTAGCCAAGTCCCAACCAAGGACCACTCTCCATTTAATCATGGGGTCAGGTGCTCCTTCCTTTTCCACAGAGCCTCTCCCCTGTCTGGAACTTAATCTATTCCACTACCCCACTTTATTCCAAATCAATCTGGTGTCTTACCAGGAAAACAGACTTCCTTATATTTGGGTCTCCCACACAAATCTGCATTTGGCTGTTGTAAGCATTGAAGCGAACACGGCATGTCTGGTCTCCCTGCACCATCAGCTGGACGTCCTGAAGGATGCTTGTTCTCCTGTTTAAGCTGATCAGGCCCCAGCCAGCTGCAGTGCACAAGGTGCCTGGCCTCAGCCCTGCCTGGCGCTGAGGCATAGCCACGGGCCGTATGGCTTGATTTCTTCTGGTTCTATTTCTAAGCTGTTAGGATCAGCAAAAACATCTCCTTTACTTGGGGTCCAAGCCTAGGGCTCAGGACCTGCTAGTATGAGCTCCAGTTCAACCCACACTCATCACCACCTTGAGTTACCCCTGTTCCTCCTTCAGGGTCCTGGGACACGGTGAAGCTGCCTCACCTGAAAGGTCCACTAGGGAGAGCTGGAGGGTCAGTTAGGTGGTACCTGCAGCAACATGATGTCATTGATGTTGGTCTGTGGATTATACTGAGGGTGGGGGATGGCTCTGAGCACAGGGATGTGCAGCTGGGTACTTTCCGGCCTCTGAACATCATGAGCCCCCAAGATGACGTTTATGGAGCTGTAAAGGAGAGGTGGCTTAGAGGTAAGTAAAAGACACAACTGTTATGATTCTCTAGTTCTTCATGGGAGGCAGGCAATCCAGGGCAGAAAAGTTACAGTTTAGGGGACATGGGAGAGTCTTGCATCTGAGCTACTTTATGCTTTGGCTTTCAACAGGCTGGGCTTGGAATGACAAGGGATCAGTAGTTTTAAATTAATACTTCTCCCTGATTAAATTGAGCCAATCCATGCTTCCAATCTCCACCTCTTGTTATTTTTGATCAATGTGTCCTTTTTCTCATCAGAGGTGCTATTTGCACTGACCTTTCTCACTTGAAAACTTACAAGACTTATTTTACTGCGTCAACCCCATTTTGGAAATGGGTCCTTTGATGAGCTCATTTGGACTCTGTGGCTGCCCCAGGAGCATCTGAGCTCTCAGCTTCTTACCTTCCAAAGCAGTGAGCTGCTGTCAGCACGAAGTCTTCTCGGACCAGGAATCCCCCACAAGTGCTTATACTATTTGGAGTTCGGATCTGAAGGTAAGCCATATAAGGGTGGGAATGGGGCCTGGCCTCTTTTCCCCCGATGATTTTCTCTGGAAGAAAGCATTTGGCATTACTGTTTGTGCTGATGGAACCCCTGACTGGTTACTCCAGAAAGGCTCTGAGATGGTGTGCAGAAGTGATATAGTGGAAGAAGGAGTTGGCTGAAAGTCAGCGGTAAGGATTGGGTCCTCATTGGCACTAGATACTGGGGGAAAGGGTCCAGAGTTCTTCAGGAAGCACTGCTGGCTTGAAGGGAATGCCATTAATTTTAGACCTGCTTCCCACCCTCTCTCCTGAAAGATAGTAGAATAATCCTTTGCAGATCAACTTCAGCCGTGAGTATTGAAGAAATCCATGCTACTGTCCAAATAGAAATCTGGAGACTTCTGGAATGGGCTCTCTCTGGTTGTTTCTTTCTTAGAGAATTTCTTAGGTTCTAAAACTTCTCCTTTCAGTGAAACTTGAATTCTTTCTTTCATTACTATTGGTTTTTGATCCTTTCCTCATACCTATTCAATCTGTATGCTGAACAAATTATTAGAGAAGCTGGACTCTATGAAGAAGAATGTGGCATCAGGATTAGAAGCCTCATCAACAACCTTCGTTATGTGAATGAAACAGTCTTGCTTGCTGAAAGTGAGAAGGATTTGGAGCACTTTCTGCAGAAGGTCAAACACTGCAACCTTCAATATAGATTGTATGTTAACATCAAGAAAACAAAAATTCTCACTGCTGGACCAATAGGCAACATTATAATGGATGGAGAAAGGATTAAGACTCTCAACTACTTCATTTTGCTTGGATCCACAGTAAATAAAGTTGGTGCTAGCAGTCAAGAGATCAGGGCGACATATTTCACTGGGAAAGTAGATAGTCAGGGACCTATCCAAGTTATTGAGGAGCAATGACGTCAGTTTGAGGATTAAGGTGTACTGTATTCAGGCCATGATAATTTCAGTCATTTGCTATGTATCTAAGAGCTGGATAACAAATAAGGATGACAGAAGAAGAATTGATGCCTTTGAGCAGTGATGTTGGAGAACAGCCCACAGACTGTCAAAAAAACAAATATGTCTTGGAGAAGGTGTAGCCAGAGTGCTCCTCTGAGGCAAAGGTGATGAAGCTTTCTCTCATATACTTTGGGCAAGTAGTAGTGTAGTGGTAGAGTCCAGGTTGGAAGTCAATTGAGATGAGAAAAAATAATGACAAACATCATTTAATAATAGAAACATGGAATGTACATAGCTTGAGTGTTGTAAAACTAGAAATTGTGAAAAATTAAATGGAACACATTAATATCAATATACTAGGCACTGGTGATATGAGATGGATGAGCTTTGGCCACTTTGAATCAGATAATCTGCCATCAGAGGCATTTCCAGAGTACTGACGAGCAACGATGTCAGTCTGGAGACTAAGGTGTGTCTGATCCAGGCCATGGCCTTAGCAATTATGTGCTATGCATCAGAAAGCTGGACAGTGACTACAGATGATAGAAGGAGAATTGATGATGCCTTTGAGCTGTAGTGCTAGAGTATCGAATATACTGTGGACTGTTAAGAGAACAAACAGGTTCGTCCTGGAGAGGGTGAATCTAGGCTGCTCCTTGGAGGCAAGGATTTTGAAGCTTTATCTGACATACTTTGGTCATGTTGCAAGGATGGACCAGTCCTTGGAAAGGGACATTATGCTTGGGAGGGTGGAGGGACAGCACAGGAGGGGAAGACCCTTGATGAGATGGATTGACTCAGTGACTAGATAATGGAGGTAGGTATGTTGGAGACAGTAAGGTTGGCTCAATATAGAGCAGGGTTCATAGGGTTGTTATGAGTTGCAAGCGACTCAACGGCACAATAACAACAACAACAATAACAACAACATCATACTATTCTGCAGATGAAAAGCAGAAGAAGAATGGTGTTGCATTCACAGTAAAAAAGTCAATTTCAGGTTTTATCCTGAAATACAATGTTGTGACTAATAGGATATTATCATTATACATTTAAAAAAAGAACCATTAATATGACTATGCTTCTACAAAGGAAGAAATTGAAGATTTTTATCAAATCTTGCAGTCTGAAATTGACCTAACATGTAATCAAGATGTGTTAATGGCAATTGGTGACTGGAATGCAAAAGTAGGAAAAAATGATGAAGGAATAGTAGTTGGAAAATATGGGCTTTGTCATAGAAATGAGGCTTGAAATAGAATGAATTTTGCATTTTCAAGGATTTATTCATTGCAGATACCTTTTTTCAAAAGACACGAATGATGACTTTACTCATGGACTTCACCTGATGGGCTGCATAGGAATCAGATTGACTATGTCTGTAGAAGAAATTGTTGGAGAAGTTTAGTATCAAAACTAGGCTAGGTGTGGACTGTGGGTCCGACCGTCAATTATGCACGTGCAAGTTCAAATTGAGGCTGTAAAAAACTAAAATGAGTCCACAAGAACCAAGATGTGAACTTGGATCCACTCCATATAAATTTCGAGATCATCTTTAGAATAGGTTGAGGCCTTGAACACCTATGATCAAAGACCAGATGAGTTTTGGGATGATATCAAAAGCAAAAAGTCATTGCAAAGACAGAGGTGAAAGAAAAAATGGAAATGGATGTCAGAGAGACTCTGAAAATTGCACTAGAACATCGAGAAGCCAAAACAAAGGGAAAACATGTTGAAACAGAAGAGCTGAACATAAGATTTCAAAGAGTAACTTGAGAAGACAAAGCAAAGTGTTAAAATGGGATGTGCAGAGAGCTGGAATTGGAGAATATAAAGGGAAGAACTCACTCTATATTTCTCAAGTTGAGAGAATGGAAAAACAAATTTAAGCCTCTAGTCAAATATTAAAAGATAACATGGGCAATAAATATATTGAATGACTCGGAAAGCATCAAAAAAAGATGGATGAAATACAATCACTGTACCAAAAAGAATTGACAGACACGGAAAAATTTCAGGAAGTACTCTATGAGCAGGAGCCAATGGTAATGGGGGAGAAAGTGGAAGCTGCAATGAAGGCATTGGTCAAAATAAGGCCCTAGGAATTGATGGAATATCAATTGTTTCAATTAACAGATGCAGCCTTTGTGTCACTCACCTGACCATGCCAGGAAATTTAGAAGACAGCTGTCTAGGAAGGGATCCATATTTGTTCCCATTCCCAAGAAAGGTGATCCAACAGAATGTGGAAAATATCAAACAATATTTTTTTTCAAACAATATTATAACTATCACATGCAAGCAAAATACTGCAGAAGATCATTAAAAAATGGTTAAAACAGTACATAGATAGGAAACTGCCAGAAGTTAAAACAAGATTTAGAAGAGGTTGTGGCACCAGGGATCATCATTGCTGATGCCAGATGTACCTGGCTGAAAGTAAAGAAAACCAGAAGAATATCTATTTGTGTTTTCTTGATTATGCAAAAGCATTTGACTATTTGGATCAGAACAAGTTATGGCTAACATTGAAAAGAAATGAGAATCCCAGAGCACTTAACTGTGCTCATGCAAAACCTCTTGTGGGATTTCAGCACAGTTTCTTACAACTAGGGAACCAGAGCTCCATATTGCTAGGTGAGGCTTTTTCTTGGAAATGTTAAGACAGAGGGTCAATAAAAAAAGAAGAATCTCCGCAAGATAATTGATATAATGACTGAAGCAATGGGCACAAGTGTGTCAGAAATGATGAGGATGGCACAGAATAGGACTTGGTTCAGGTCTGTTGTTCACAGTGTCACTATAAGTTGTACTCCACTCTATGGCACCTAGCAACAACAGTCCTTGTGATTTCTACAAGTGCTAGCTCATGGCCAAAATGAAACTGGTTTCTAAGGATCTGGATATGCAAGCAATGGAACTATTAGTGTTTTTATTTCCTAGACTCTGACAGTCTTCTGACTGACTGAACAAAACATTTATGTAGCACTTACTCCATGCTAGGCACTATTCTGAAAGCTTTCTCTACCTTAATTTGACTCTCAGAAATTCAGTGAGATGGAGATAACATGATTCCCATTTTCTAAATGAGCAAACTGAGAAACTAAATTTCAATTGCTTATTCGAAGGTAGAGAATTAGAATGTGGCCCCAGCAGATTCATAACTATCTGAAGACTATCTGAAACGTATGCTCCCATGTACTAGAAAAGGATTCTTTTTTGTTGGGTGGAGTGGGTTCCTGTGAGGGAAGAAGCAGAACTCGCATCACTGAGCACCCCTAAACTATTGGTGACTATCTGGGAAGACAATGTACTGGAAAGAAAGATGAAGGAAGTAGATTAGCTGTGCGTTGACACTGAGAGAATAGGGTCATTTGTGAGAGTGAGTTCACTAAACTTGGGATGAAACAGATCTTGGGCTACTGATTTTGAAAAGACTTACACTAAGAAAGAGAAGAAAATTTTTTTAAAAAAAGTTTTTTCCCATGAAAACAGACATTACCCATCATACCACATTCTGTGTATAAATTGCCTTCTCCTGGCCTCCTGGGATTGGGAAAATAAAGGATTTTCTTGCTTTTTAGTTATAACCTCCTCTCCCCCTTTAGAATCCCATTACCTTCTAGAAAATGACTATTTTCAGATGTTAAGGACATGATCTAGCGGAGGAAGAAAACCCACTTAGCCTTCTAGGGAAATTTTTTCTATTCTCCTTGATTTTCTTTTCTGCTAAGAACATAACTAGAATGAAACAAGAGCAGGATGTTTCTGAGGATGTGACCAGCGCTGCCTGAGGAAAACAAGAAGGAATTAGGCCTTGACATGGGGAGGACCACTCACCTGCTCTAGCCCCCCGGGGTAGAAGCATGACGGACATAAGTGTGAGTAGCAGCATCTTCCCTGGATGGCGGCTCCATCAATTGACCCTTGTGCTTCCTCATATGTGACTTTTAGCCCCCAAGAGAGGAAGGAAGGGGAGGAGGGATTGAGAACTCAAAGTTCCATTCACTGATGTGAGAGATTTCATCACCCAAGACTACCCAAAGTGTTTCTCACCAACTGCCAGTAATTTGGTAAAGAGAGATTAATCCAAGCTAATACCACACCTCCCACAGAGATGCTAAATTAGTGCTAACAGAAGAGAGAGAATCAAGGGCAACCAGGAAAAAAAATTTTGAATGTCTTGTCCTAGAATCTTGACCTACCAAGTTTAACAATATCCCCAGCAATGCACAAAAGCTGGAAGCTGCCTAGTTATGTTCATTTCCATCCCTCTACAATTAGAGCTTTGGTAGGCTAGTGGGTAAGGAGTTGAACTGCCAACCCAAAGACAGGCAGTTCAAATCCACCAGCTGGTCTATGGAAGAAAGATGGGCAATCTTCTCCTGAGCAAGTTACAGCCTCTGAAAACCTATTGGAGAGTCAGCTCTGAGTTGGTTGCTACTTGAAGGAAATGAGTTGAGAGAATTTAGGCTCCAATCTTCTGGGATTTTTCACTCAAACATTGCTGTAGAGTCAGAACTGACTAATAGCTGAACCTCCATCCATTGCACTTTCAGAGACTGTAGATTGCAGTTGGAGCCATTGGTAGATTTGAACTATCAGACTCAGCTTTTGGGTTAGAAGCACAACTCTTTATGGGCTAAAATGTCATCAAGAATCTCAAAATGAATGCAAGGTCCCTGGATTGCTTATTTGTTAATTGCTTGCTTATTAATATTTAATAAAAGTTAGAGATGAGTGAGTGAAATAAGGGTAGGATATGGGAAGAGGACACTAGAAAGGGACAAAACTTGGCTTGTCTTCATCCTTTGCCCCAAGGCTACCTAAGACCCTTATTCCTTCCACAGCTTTCCAGAAGCCTACAAAGCAGAATGAGTAGTCACTATTGTTGGATTCATTGAAGGTGCTTCTTGACAAAAGGAAAATGGAGAAGCAAGACTCTGCCCCTGATAATTACGTTCTCAGGGCATATGGACCCTCACAGACACTCATCACAACAGAGGTGAAGATTTCCATTCTCCTGGTTGCTCTGCATTGTGAAGGCTTTCTTCTCTGTCTCCTAGAAGAGTCCTGCATGTAGAAAAGGCCTTGTGGCTTGATATTGTTGAGAGCTACCAGATAACGGCTGGACAATAGCTAAGATTTGTTTTTCATCTTTGAATACATGCTAATCTCTATTTTCTACCTTAAGAATGATAACCTCTAAGAACAATATATATTATTGCCAAGATACCTACATTAGATAAAGAATTGGAACCTCACATTCAACACTGGGGTAGAGGTCTAGACAGTGATGTGCCTTAGAATAGCAGAGTCGGTAGTTAGATACACTTAAAACGTATTTCCAAAACTCTATGTATGAACAGAAAGGTGTTATAATTTGGTATGTTATAATTTTGTATGATGTTTGCAAGAATAGCAAAGCAAGAGATCAGTACAACTCTTGGGATTTTATGAAAAGCTTATGAAAGTTAAGGTCTTTCTCCTCATGTATAGATAGACACAGTATTTAATTTTATTTCAAAGCTGCACAAAGCTTCATTCCTTCTCTTGTACCTCCTCTAATTTTGCAATGTTAAAGAATTTTCCTTTTATGGCTGAAAAGAAATAGAAGAAAAGGGGAAAAGAGAAAATAGCACAGTGACTTCATTAGCACATTAGTACATGAAGTAATTATAATGTATCATATTATATTAGATGATTTTTATTATGGCTTTTTTAAATTAACAATAACTTAAGAATTTATGCCAGCTTTCCTGCAAAGAAACAAAGCTCAAAGAAAATGTAAAAGCAGAAATGATTATCAGACCCAAACTGTAAAAACAAACAAACAAACAAACAAACAACCGACTCAGAATCCCATTGAAGAAAATGCGCCCGGAAGCAACTTCTGTTGTGAAGCAATTTTCTGAGTGCACAAATTTTGAACTTGAGGTGAATTATTCTTACTATTTTTATTTTCTCTTTTAAGAAAGCACTCATGATATTGGGATAAATAAGATTCTGATATTTTTAATAATATCTGTTCTTGACGACACCATCTTTGTGTTATTTTATTACATTTCCGTCAGTTATATCCCCCCCTTCTCTGAGAAGTTGAGACACTCAGGAAGAGTGCTTTCCAGTTCTTCCCTGGGTCCCATAAGCCAGAAACAGTGGAAATCCTCTGGACAGACAGTTGCCTGTGGTTGCTAGGTCACTTCCCTTCCCTTCCGTTGATGTTACTGTAGGCAGCAACCGCTTCTCGTTCCTCTTGGCTTTTTAGGAGACCAGTGTGCAACTGAAGTGCTCCAGACATCCTCATGGTTGCCTTGATGGGCATCTTAGAAGGTTATTAGAGTTATCTGGTGGAGTAGTCCACAGAATGTTGCATTACTCACTAAAAGGCCATGGGTTTCCAGCAGTTCAGCTTCAGTTAGCTGCTCTGCAGTTTCCTTCTGTTAAGATTTATAACATTAGAAATTCAATGGAGGGTCCCTATGAGTAGAACGGACTAAAATAAAGGTCATTGTATTAATTATCTAACAATAACAATATCTTGCAATAACAGAGATTTGAAAGTGATAGGTTTTCACAAGCAGAATTTTATTCTTTTACTATTTGTTGTTTATGTCTGCAAATCAGAAACTATTCATAAATGACCTTCCACTGGGTTTTCAGAGTCTGTAAATCACATGGAAAGATTGCCCATCTTTCTCCCACAGAGTACTGCCTACTTATGTTAATTTCCATCCCTCTACAATTAGAGCTTTGGTAGGCTATGTTAATTTCCATCCCTCTACAATTAGAGCTTTGGTAGGCTAGTGGGTAAGGGGTTGAACTGTTTGCATTTGGCAGTGAAACTTGTTACCCACTAAGTTACAAGTGCTTTCTTATTCAGAAGGCCAGAAGTTCAAATTCAGATGCTAGAAGCAGGACAATATAATGCATGGAAATTCTTGTTTCATTTAGCATTTGTAGACCAGGAGTTCCCTGGAGACCTCCATGTACTCTGTCCCTATCTGATATCAAGGAGCTTCATCTTGCAGAGATGATCAACAGATGAATGAATAAACACTTTATGGTGCATATAAACAATGGAATACCATACAAAACTGAAGAGTAACAAAGAATACATGAAACACCAAATAATGTAGATGAACCGGAAAGATATCTTGAGCAAAATAAGTCAGACACAAAATGGCAATAATATATATGACCCACTATTATAAAAAAGCTAAGGAAAAGTATATACACACTGAATTAGATAGTTGCCAAGGATGGAGGGAGAGGGAAAAGGAATTGGGGTTAAAAAAATCATTCATGTATTGAATATACCATAGACTGCTAGGAGAACAAATAGGTTCATCCTGGAGAGGGTGAAACCAGACTACTCCTTGGAGGCAAGGATTCTGAAGCTTTATCTGACATACTTTGGGCATGTTGCAAGGAGTGCGAGGAAACAAGGTGCTGGCCTTTCTGACCCAACTCACAAACATTCCCATGTCAAAATGTTTAGACTTTTCTCCTGCCATGGTGCCACCCTTAATAGTCTGAACCTGGGTCCCATAAATAATGATTGACTTTGTAATTTATTGTTAAATTGAGACACTCAGAATTAAAAGGGACATTCATCTCTCTTATTGTCAGTGATTTTGAGCATTTCTTCATGTGTCTATTGGCCATCCAAATATCTTCCTCTGTGAAAAGTCTTTCTATGTCTTTTGCCCATTTTGTGACTGGGTTATCAGTCTTTTTCTTCTGGAGGCCCTGTAGGATTCTATAAACTTTTTAAATGAAACCCTTTTCTGAGATGATGTTGCCAAATGCTGTTCCCAGTCAGTAGATTTTCTTTTTACTCTGTTGGAAAAAGTTTTTGATGAGCACAGAAATTTAATCTTTAGAAGGTCCCATTCATCAATTTTATCTTCTTCAGATTTTGCATTTCTGGCAGTATTTGGCAGTCCCTTTATACTGTAGACTAGGCCTTCAAAGCTATATTTAAGTTTGTCTCTTATGTGCTTTATGGTTTTAGGCTTTTTTTTTCTGAGGTTTCTGATCCACCTTGAGTTGATTTTTGTGTATGGTGTGAGATGTGGATCCTGTTTCAGCTTTTTGCAGGTAGCAGTCCAGGTCTGCCAGCACCATTTGTTGAAAACCACAATGAGATATCATCTTACCCCTGTAGTAGTGGCAAAGTTTAGCAGGCCAGCAAGTAATAAATGTTGGAGAGAATGTGGCGAGATAGGAATTCTTATACATTGTTGGTGGGATTGTAAAATTGTCCAACCACTCTGGAAGACAGTTTGGCATTTCCTCAAAAATCTGAACATAGAAATTCCATATGCTCCAGCTATTCCATTGCTTGAAATACACCCTGAGAAAAAGAGAACTGAGGCACAAACAGAGACTTGTACACCAAAGTTCACTGCAGCATTATTCACCATAGCAAGAAAATGGAAACAGCCCAAGTGTTCAACCACAATAGAATGGATGGAGAAATTATGGTATATTTATGCAATGGAATACTATGCAGTGTGCAGTAGCAATGATTTTATAAATTGCTTCCTAACATGGGAGGGACTGGAGGGCATTATGCTGAGTGAATTAAGTCTCGTAAGGACAAACACTGTATAAGGTCATTATTATAGAACGAGTACAAGGATCCAAGGAGGGGAGCGAGGGCTTAATCATGGGGTCACATAATTTGACGGGTGGAGGGAGGAGTGGGTAAAGGAAATGGGAAAGATCTGATGTGAAAAACAATGGATACAAATTTTATGAACTTTGTATGTAAAAGAAAGAAAAAAAATCAAAATACTGAGAGTTTAAAAAAAAGAAAAGAGACACTCTTGTGGAACTGTGTGTGAAAGAAAATGAACTTGAGCTGTGTTGTTGCTTTGATTGCAGTGGCGCTGATTCTGACTAATGGCATAAACTACATAAAGTTTTCATTATGACTTTTCAGAATAATATTGTCTGGCTTGGGTTTTCCTCTAAGATGCATCTGAGTTGTTCAGCCTGCTAACTTCTAGTTGAGTACATAACTTCACCACGTGTTGTTGTAGGGACTCTTTATGTTGCTAATCACTGACATGTTAATATTTGTTTCATTGCCTAGTCTGTAGAACGTTGCACTGCTATCTCAAAGGTTGCACTGCTTTAGTGGTTCAAATCCACTAGCAGCCACGCTTCAGGAGAAAGATCGGCTATTTCTTCCAGTGAAACTTTAAGCTTTGGAAGCCCAACAGAGGGGCAACTATAAGTAGAACTGATTCAATGCAATGAGTTTTAATTTGTGTTTTAGATAATAATGATATAAATTTATTTAGGCTCATTTTTCTCTGACATGATATTTTAAAAAATTAAGCCATGTTAATAGTTATAAAAGGAAAAATATAAAAGTAGGAAGAACATTACTAATCTTATTCCTATCACCCAAATGACTACAAAAATTTAATTTCCTTTTAGTTTTATTGTTTTTCCCTTACACTGTTGTCATCATATTATATTTAAATGTGAATCCCCTCATTTTAATTATCCAACACAAACATTCCCCTCATTTCACTAAAAATCTTTTCAAGTTAAAAATGTCAAAGGTGTTGCTATAGAATTAGAAGCAACTCATAGCTGACCTTCCAGCGAGTTTTTGGGGCTGGCAACTTACACAGGAGGAGACTGCCCATCTCTTTCCAGTGGGTAAACTGGTGGATTTGAACTTCCAGAGAGGCATTACCTTTAGGTTAGCAGTACAACTCCCTATACACTAGGTTACTAGCTGTTGTTGGTGTTGATTGCCTTCAAGTAGAGCATGACTCATAGTGACCCTATTAACAAAAGGCCTGAAGTCCCTCTACAACTATCAGCATTTATCAAAGTTCATAGAGTTTCTGGAGGCATGCTGTTTAGGAAGTGGATGCCACTTCTGCTTCCAAACCTGTCATAGTATATTACTGTTTTTATGTTCCATTGAGACTTCTGTGGTGTATAGCAACCCTATGTACAACAGATTTAAACCCTTCCCTGACCTGAGCCAGTCTTACTAACTCAAACACACGAACCCCCATCGTCCCAGTTACTGTATCATTCCATCTCATCCTGGGTCTCCCCCTCCTGCGCTGTCCATCCACCCTTTCAAGCATGATGTCCTTCTCCAAGGACCAATCTCTCCTGGCCACATGTCCCAAATAAGTGAAGCAGAACTTTAAAATCCTAGCCTTCAAGGAAAGGCTTGATTTCACCCTCTCCAAGACAGACCTATTTGTTTTTCTTGGCAGCCCATGGTATGTTCAAGACTCATCTCCAGCACCACAATTCAAAGGTATCTATTCTTCTTCTCCCTTTAAATGAATTAGTGATTATTAGTTTAGAAACTTATTTATATTTCATAGAAATGTTTTAAATGATCTAACTATTAAATACAAGTTGCAAAAAAAAATTAAAAAATATACATGGAAAGAAATAAAAGACAAATATGTGCATAAGTAAAAATTCCTCTATAGTTTTTACAGCACTATAGTTTGCTTTTAAATTTAAACCTAGCTGGTGAATGCACTTACATTAAAAAAAAGTGATTTTGTGTGTAGGTATCACCTGCTTTCCCAAAGCTTGTACTCTGCCAGAGCTGCCACTTTACTATTATGAAGGACTTATATTAGTACCTGTTCTAACTAACTGAAAGAAATGCAGAGAATTTTTGCTTTTACAGGGGGAAAACAAAGTAAAAAAGCAAACCCTGCAATCAGAGTATGTTTTGCAGAGAGTCATTAAAAAGACTGTGTGTAGAACAGAATAGCAAGGGTAATGCCACCAAGCTCCTTCCCAGGAACTACACCACGCATTTCAGTATCAAGCCACCATAGCTTTGAACTCTCTCTGTGAGCACCTTGTGTCAGTATTTTTCTAGGTTTTATATATTATTTGGCATAATTTGATGGATTATTTTTCTGAATGCTCAAATATTTTCCCACATGAATTAAAGGTAATTGATTATTCACTTTACATAATTTTGGTTTATGAAAGACTTCACAGAAACATTTGATTTTTGCATGGGGTCAGTAACATGTATAAACTTAAAAATTTGGGTTGCTGTTGTTGTTGTTGATTACCTTCGGGCCAAGCACGACTCATAGCCTGAAGCCTCTCTACAACAATCGACATTTGTCAAAGTTCATAGAGTTTCTGGAGGCATTTTGTTTAGGAAGTGGGTGCCACTCCTGCTTCCAAACTTGTCATAGTATGTTACTGTTGTTATGTGGCATTGAGTCTTCTGCGATGTATAGTGACCCTATGTACAGCAGCTCTGAACCTTTCCCTGTCCTGAGC